GGGGGGGCAAGCGAAGCCGGTGTTCTGAGCCACCTCATCAGCGATCAAACTGTGTCCATTCAAAGAAAACGATAGGGATGTGCTTGCATTGTCATTAATGTTATTATCTTATAAGGGGAGAGTGTGAGTCTAACACTCATCAACTTTGAACTTTGACCTCATCAGTTTATTCTCCACGTACAATTCTGATAAGCTACTTACCTCAGTTAATTTAGTAAAAGTTTTAATAGGTTATATAAGAGCCGAAGGTAATAAGAGGTTTAGCTAGATAATAAAATACGAAAAACAGAAGTCAGTGTCCAAGAGATTAGGCTCTCGGACTCGCACCCGTAAGGTCGTGGGTTTGAATCCCGTCAGGGGCCCGAAGTTGTGTTTTTCCCAGGTGAGAATGGGTACCCAGCTCTTAACAGCAAAAGATTTTGTCAGTTTGTTGGTGTTAGAGCGCTAAAGCGGCTGCTTGCACTGTATGCTTCCCGGGAAGCCGAGAACGTTTCTGAGTATTTTTAAGTCTACTGGGGAAATAATATAGTGTAAAGCGCATAGAGCTTGCTGTTGAGCGGGGGTATGTGCTTTACAAATGCGATTTATTACTATATTATTAATAAGTAAGAGCGATAAGGATGATAGATGTTTGATAGGAAAGAAGGAGCAAACCACACACAGAGCATCCATCAACCACCCACCTTCTGTCCCTCAGAAGTAAGCGATTCATTCTGTAAAGTACCATGTTTGAACAGACAAGGGGCCTAATCCTGATGAATAAGTGGACAGTACTCATGAATACCGTGGGCTTCTTTTAGTCCCCAATAGATAGTCTTACCTGCTTCCACCCAGTGAAGGAAGCAAATTCCATCCATTCATTCGCTCCTTGAATCGTTTCTTTCTTCCTTTAATCATCTGTTTATTCCACCTAACATGTTAAACAAACCTACAAATTTCCTTTGCAGATGTTCCGTTAGGCGGTTGGTGTCCAAAACCTGACCAGAGTGTCAATTGGCTTGAAGTAAATTTTCCTTCAGTGGTCAATTTGACATGCTTGACACTACAAGTGCCATTCACCCCCGACAGTGATAACGTTCCAACGGTCACTCAATTCCGTGTGCTCTACGAAAATGGGACTGACCAGTACGGCTCTCTCACAACCTATGCAACTGATACGGGAGCCGAGGTAGGCCTATATAATGCAAGTGTTAACTCTATAGGTAGCCAAGGCTTGCCGTTATCAAGTTGGATGAAGCAAGAGCAGAAGAATAGTTTAAGACTTTGACAGATGATATAATATTACTTACATAGATTCATGGTGTCTTCTTTAATATAATGTACTTACAGTATCAAAGTGGTCCCTGCATTTTATTAGAAACTACATCTGTCTGTATTTAAAGAAAGTTGAGAGGAGCAGTGCCACTAAACCACCAGTTAAAACCTACCTTGAGAAATAGACACAGAGAGAGAGAGAGAGAGAGAGAGAGAGAGAGACAGA